CCAGTATTTCCTGGAATCCCGCCTTAGGCAATCTGCGTTTGTCAGTGGATAGTCTGCGAGGGCGGGCCAAAACAGGTAGACCTTTAATGCAGATATGTCGCGCGAGGTTCGTTGTCACGCGAAGTAGCTCGATCTGTGTGCAGACGAACTTAGGATGCTGCTTGAATAGGTTTAGAAGGGGGCGGTAAAGCTTGTGGTGGCCACGTTGGCGGCAGACCAGATAACGCTGAGCTGTGTCCGAGAGTCGATAAGACTATTTACTTTAACTTCGAAAATACGGTCGACACTTTGAAGAAATTATGTGACTATGGTAGCGAACGGCACGACTACAACCATTAAAGCCCAGAGAAATGTTCGTCGGATGCCTAGACTGAGCATTAGTAGCTTCACTCGAACATTTGCTATTGGCTTGTCATTGGGTGCACGTAGTCTGGTCGGCAATGGTGAGACTATTTCACCCGATCTATGAGGTATGACGCTAACTCCAGCTACGGTGTCCACTAGGAACTAGGTATCAGAAAGTAAACCCCTAACACGGATGAGGATACTTTGGTTTCGGCCGATCGCGTCCGTCACCATTACGGGCCAACCGAGAAAGAGATGCCCAGGGTTTACTAGTGTGAACTTCTAACAAACAATATTATTTCATTGTCCGCTTAGGCAACCAGTGCGGATTGTTGAACTGGCAATTGTGTTCGATTGCTTGAGTCGAGCACCGCCATTGCTTGACGCCGGTTTCGATTGCGACGCGCGATCGCACTTGTGTGCTGCCCTTCTCTGCCAACACTAGCTAGCAGAGTCGTGGATGTCGGCTTTTTATAGCCAGGAAGACAGGGAACCTTATGCTGCACAAATAAGTTTCACTACACCTCGATCTACTTTGGTGATCGCTATCCTGGTACACACCAATTAGGGCTTACATCCAACAATGGAATCCCTACGAGTGGAAAGGAATTGGTTAGGTTTGCGTTGTACGGTATAGGTAACCCTCGTCTTCGTCATTACGATACCTGTGAAGTATGGAGCCAATCCAGTTGCGGATCACGTGAGCTCGAACGTTGACGGCACACAGTATCAGTAGCACCCATTTTAACAGTCAGCGAGTTCATTTTTGATTCCCCAGCTTGCTTATCCTAGCTGAGAAATGCGACCGGTTAATCGCAGAAGCAGAGCAGAGGATAAACAACAAGATTACTTCAATGGGAGCGAGTATGGACCACAGAAGCGTAGCGGCTGCTAAGCAACCAAATGTTGAACAATCCGCTTCCTCTGAACCGCAATCAACCACCTCTCCATCTCCGTTGTCTTCTCCAACCTTGGTAGAACGCCGTGCGAAAACAGACTGTACCTACGTGAATCAAACAGTACACACGGCAACGAAAATCAGGCACCATTCAAAACGTCTGGTTAAGCAAATTCCACTACACCTGGCATCTAGTATTAACAAGGATGGAGCAGCCAAACACCAACCCTTGGTACCTGTAGCTCAAATATCTCCTGTCGAGACTAAGCCTCCAAGAACATTGGGCACATATGCAGAGATTGTTGCAAGGGTCCACCGAGAGGCCGCCGTTGCGTCCTCTTCCATTGTAAACACCGTTAACGCAAACAGAGAGAAAAAGCGCAGACAATCACTTGTCAA